GAGCATAATATTTACCCTTGCATATACTAAACAAATCCAAACTCTTACGTCCTTCGTTAAACGAGGTATATTTATAAAGAAACACGCGACTTTTCTTTCTTGGAAATTTTTGATTCCCCAGGGACATACTCCTTTCTTGAGTATTTTCTAAAATTTTCGGCTTTTCTACTGCGGCTGGCGCAAAAAAGTTCTGTTTCATTCAGTATAACTTAAAAACTAAAAGAGGTGCATTGCATTCAGTAATTAATGTCTAACTTAAATTTTGATATACGCCATATGTGTGTATTTTCATACAATATTTACGGAGAGATAGCTGCGTTTAAACTTCAGTAAACATTTTTGGAAGTGTCGAGAATTAACTATAAAAAGTTGATAACCGTTACCATTTTATCGTAAGTATTCGTGTCAATGAGGTGAAGTTAAAAATGTTTCAGTATTGGATGGATATGCCCGTTTTATATTCAGTTCTGTTTTACATTGTTCGGAAAATTCATGAAAATCAATTTAATTCTCAGGCTGTTTTGATGAAACGTTTTACTCGGAATATTCAACAACCGCTATATAAATTATTCATCCCAAAAAATAAAATTAACTTGTATATACAACGTCCAATAATCATCAGACTCAATGACTCAATACAATCATTCTCTTAAACACAACAGAAATAAACTCTCCTCCTATAATTTCCTGTTATTCTTAAACCAATACACATTATATTAATTGTACTAAGCGTATTTTAAATGCAGTTATACACAATAGAATGTTGCAATTAAGCGACTTTATCAAATACATGGGTCTAATTTTGAACTGATGATAATTATTTAAAATCATCACCACTATATAAAAATAACAAACAGTGTAAATGCGTTTATTTACGATACGGAAAGGTTTAAATCCTTTCGAATGGTAATATACACTTAAATAAACTTTAACAAACTATATTATCCAATTATCTCATACAGAGCTCACTATACACCGAGTGTATTTATTCATATAGGTGATGCGGTTAACATGTGAAAAGATATTAAACTAACCGTGTTTATCTGTACCGGTACAGAAATAGAACGAGTGGAAAACAGCCTAACTAATTAGCAGAATAAACGAATTGCAAAAATACGGAGTCGGCATTTTGGAGCATCGCAAATCATTTAGCAGCAAATTGTCGTTGGCCATCACTGATTAAGCAGTAGAAACGAAGCGACCACTGACAATTTAATATATTGAAGAATTTAAGCATTCAAATGCAAAGTATGTCATGGAATATCTGTCTGTGGATGTGATTGAATTGAACCCAAAATATTCTACTTACGATTTGTCACGCCGTTTACAACATCACAACAAGATTTCGATATTATGTTTGAATGACACTTTTTGGATAGAAACTTCAACTTCGCTTGCCCACGACAGCGTTCCTGATTAATTCAAACAGATGGAGAAGTGTTGGCATTGTCTTTTCAAAAGTATTTGCATGCTGGAAATTGTGTTAGTTTGTTAAATGATTGGTTAATACACTATACGATGCATATTTGCATAATACCTGTTCTTGAGTGAATATTGCATGCCAAGGTGAGGATGCTGGCTCGAGGACCCATGCCGTGGGTCGAGGGTAAATAGACCTTCAAAATGGAAAAGTACAAACTTTTTAATCTACAATTGCCGAATTTAATTCGGCAATTGTAGAAAAGAGATTAGTCCGCACCACTGACTCAAAATTAACGCTGGATAGAGGAGCAACCTTTTGAATTTAGGGACTGATTAATTTTGACGCCAGAACTGATATTTGTTATGAGAATATAGGTATTGTAGATGGAAGTTGTCGACTGGATATTTATATACACAGGGGCATAGGAACCGGGGGAGGGGAGGGGGGGGGGAGCAAGGGGGCCAAGGCCCCCAAGTTTTCAGAAGACACAAAAAGTGCCCTGTTTCCGGTGGCAAAGTGCCCTTTGCCTTCGTGAAAAATGTTGTTCAGATTGCATTTTTGACTCATGGGTGTTGCAAAGCAACATCTGCGAGTCTTTGTGGTTACTGGAGTGTGGGGCAGTTAAACAATGAGAAATGACCAGCATGCTTGGCGCGCACTCTTTGCCTGCCAATCAGGGGCCTTTCAGAACCAGAAATCGGGCTGGAGCACGACAAATGGAAAAATTTGGCAAACTGCTTTAATTCTTTGTGTCACTTTCATTTGATCTCATCCATGAGTCGGCCTCAACGGTCATTGATTTATGATTGCATTTCTTTTTGTTTCCCTCCCCCCCCCTTCCCCCCGGTTGCCAACATTTCCGGGAAACATTTTTTAGGTGTCCTTTTCATTCCAAAAGTGCTCCTCGAAACCGGTGCCCCCCACCCCAACTTTTTGATGCTTCCTACGCCCCTGTATAAATAACCAGAGGTAAGTTGACTGTGCGGTGGGGCGTTTGAACACAAAATTACATAAAGTAAGCGATGATTAACGACCACTGACACGCATTTTTAACCGATTGTGGACTCGTATTTTGCAAATAGGCGGGAATTTTATTAAAAAAAGTGAAAAACAAACAAGAAAAAAGGAAAAACCACCACAAAAATCATAAAAGAAGGCAATTTTCCGTGAGATGTCTACGTTAAACCAAGCTGTAGCAATTTGGCAATTATATATCAGTGTTTCTTGGTGTAGTGGACCCTATTCAGTCGTCTTCGAGAAATATCGTCCTGTGCAAAAATATATTCTGTTTTCGTAAAAACACCAAAGTGATATAGCGTTTGAACTTTGAAGAAAGTTTGTATTGTCAGAAAACATTCACAGGAAGATAGCGAAATTCCAAGGTAACTTTGCTTTTCATTGTTGTTTTACTGAACTACTTTTTAACTGCAGTTTAATAGCGCTAACTACGTTTTTATACAACCGGACCCTGGCAGGAATTGAACATGTGAACCTCTTCTATTCAGCAATACGACCACAGAGTAAGTATATAGTATACTTACTCTGTGCCACCACAGTAGATTTGTGGTAGTCACATCAATAGACAATTCCAGCTGTCGACTAATTTTTGATCTAGACAAGAAAGACTTTATCTAGACAAGAAATTTTTTATCTACTTTCGGGCCGTTTCGGCTCAAAAATGGTTATTTTTACCGCGCGTAATATACTAAAACACTCAAAATTTGCTAATTTCACAGGGCTACATTTTCCGTATTTTACAACATTTCGCAACCAAACTTTGCAATTTTACTAATTTTAGGATGCTCTTTTGAGCTATAATGATATATTTCGTCTTTCTTGTCTGGACAAAAAATTAGTCGATAGCTGCAATTGTCTATACAGCCGCCATTGGTCCAGTGATGTTTAGCAGATACTCCATCCAGACTGGTATTGAGATCAGGGTCGGCACGTATATAAAGAAACGACTGTCTTGTAGTAGTGAAGCAATTAAAGTACTTCAGGTACTCAACAAGAAACGGAAACAGGCTATACAAGTACATATACAATTCTTATCATGGAAAAAGGGAAACTGCATGGGTGGCTTGTTTGTGCAGACAAATCACGATACTCGAGAATTCACCCTCGCCGTCGGTATTAGAGAACTGTGGTGCACACTGCCGTAGATTCTACGAGTAGATGCGTGCAAGAGATAGTGAGATACCCAACACTGTCTGCTGACAATGCCCCACCCCCTCCCCAGGTTTTCACCGGGTTTGGGGGCCTCACCCCTTTATATTCATAACATTGTGTAGAGTCCCTCGCGATCGGTCCAGAACATCACAAAAATTTGGTAATCTGTACAAGGTTTTACCCATTACCCACGAGAAACTATCCCCGACCCTCGACTGTTGTTCCACAGACATTTAACATATTCCGAAGAAGTGTTGTCTATAAGCACTGCGCACGGCTCCAGGTCAAAAATTTTCAAAGATCACACTTGGTCGTCTCAACGGGACTTTACTCACGATCCTCGAAAGCTGTACCTTGAGTCTCGACCCACACTCTTGCATGATTTACATATTCTGAACTGGTGCTGTATATAAACAGTATATACGGTTTCTAGGGAGAGGACAATATACAGGGCGAACTCCCACTGACAGGCAACAATGTGCTCGCCATGCTGCACAACGTATTACGCACGGTTTACGCGTATTCAATAAGGTTGGTTTGCACTCAACGGGTTTCTGTGATAATGGTGACGTCAATCTTGGAAAAAACCTTGACGCGAAGTCGTTGAATTGCTTGTTGCTATTTTAGTGAAACTGGAAGAATAGGAAGGTCTCCATGCTTGGAATTTACATAAAATTTCGACAAGAGAATGTTTTTGGAAACTTTACTGGTGTACAAACCGCAAGAAGAACAGCATCTGCTGCATCTCAAACATCACTATATACCGCGACAACGTACAAGCGCGCAATGTACAAACACGCGCAAAAACAAGCACGCTCCCTCGCACGCTCCAATCAGAAGAAGCGACTCGGCCTAATTTCATAGTAAGCATACCTGTTCTATACAAGAAAACAACTTCAGCTTGTAGCATCTTTGTTTTGATATTCTTTCTCAAATTTATAACTTGAGAAATTGGAAGAATCTAAGTCTAATTATCAATTCTAATTTCAAATTTTCTATGATTTTTACAAATAACTCTACATTTTGGACTAAAATCCACGTGTATGTCATTCCCAGAAAATGTCATAATATATCTAAGATAAAAGGTCCTGTATAGGTCGTTGTATAAAATATACAAGATAGCATCTGGAGGATGACTGTATAAAACTCTTAACTATATGTCAACTACCGGTTTCGTAGTTAGTTATTAATTAACACTACAATATGCGATTATGATTGGTTACTTTCGCACAAACTATAGTTAACGACTTTTTGATGCAGCCTGTCCTGGTTAAAAAAGCAAACTCGGACATTTCTAACAACGTCCCTTGGTCGGAAGTCCGTTGTTGAAATCAACGGAGTTTGCTTATTATATTTAGGTGCACATCTTTTTTATGGTACATATATACAAAAAATTGAAGGCAAACGTCTAAATCACAACTGCTGTGGCTAACCATCTTGATTCCTTCATGCCAGGAAGTTCCTCCCAAGTATAGTTGTCGAAGCTGAAACTTTCGACTGATTTCAAAGTATTCCTCTCACCCATCCCTCCTAGTACTACAATTGTGTTCTCAATAACAACTGCCATACATCCTTTCCTCTTGTGTAACATGGGAGGCAACATATGACTGTTTCCGGTCTTGATGTTATAAATTATAACATTGTTTAATGCTCTCTCATCCTTGTCAGCACCACCAATGATCACGACATTCTCAGCCCACTTGACTGTCGCCATGTCACTCACTGGATAGGGAAGCGCAGGTAACTGTTCACATTCATTCTTCTTGATGTCATAGCTTAACACACTGCTGAGGTTGTCTTTGGTGACCAAAGATTTCTTTCCCCCGACGATCAAAATACTATCATCACACAGTACTGTGCTGTGACGAACTCTTGGTTCAGGCAGCTTGGATACCAGTTTAACAGCGTAAGGTGGTTTAAGCTGTACTTTGTAAATACAGTCAGAAAGGACATTATTTGCATTATAACCACCAGTAACAAACAAGCTATCCTTGTACACAACACTACTATGTGCATACAACTTGATAGGCAGTTTGGCACCAAAGTCACTCCAGTTAATTGACAGATCAGGAATAGGATGAATGTTCATTTGGATCATATGATCTACAGCAGCACAATTACATTCACCTCCCGCTACAGTCACATGATTATTGTAAACAAATGAAGATGCATCGTCACGCTTCACTGGCATGGGCTTTAATAAAGACCACAATCTCTGACGGCAGTTAAATATTTCTACCGAGTTTCTCTCCACACCACCAGCAACAAATATGTGTTGATTTTCTCTCCCGCCACTCGCTGTGCCACTTACATCTCTTGTGATTTCCTCCTGCTTTCCTTCTCCGCTTTCTATCTTCTCAAGAACTGCTTCTTTCAACTGATGGAAGTCATTTTTTACTTCATTTAAACTCATTTTCATTCCTCTCACCTCATTATTCACTGCTTCGAACTTGGCTTCCACGTTCGCCTGCAAGTTTGTCACTTTCGTGTCAACATTTTTCAGCTTCGTGTGCAGGTTTTCTAGTTTCGTGTCTGTATGTGCCATTTTTGTTTTCACATTTGCCATTTCCGTGCTAATATTTGCCATTTCCGTGCTAATATTTGCCATTTTCGTGTCCATGGTTGTTAGTTTCGTGTTCGTGTTTGTCAATTTCGTTTTAACAGCCGTCATTTCCGCGCTCACATTTGCTAATTTCGTTCGCATATCCGCCTGATTCGTGTCCAAGTTTGCCATTTTCGTTTCCATACCCGCCATCATCGTGCTGATTTCTCCACAGTTGTGACACTTCAACTTTCTAAATTGACACAGTTCACTCTCGTGATATGTACGATCTCTTTTACTGATTGCCTCACCACAACCTTGATTTCCACAAACGACTGGGGTAAACCCGCATTCGGCGACATGTCGCTTTAAATTCTGCAGCTGTACGAGTTCCCGACATCCTCTGTCGTAATGGTTGCAACGGATACTTAGTTCGTCTAAGTAATCCTTCACAATTCTTGGAACGTCTTGCAATGTTTCGACCCTCAGTTCGTCAGCGCACGTTGGGCATGTATGGGAATTCCTACGAAGATGTTCCGTGATGCAGCCGCGGCAGAAATAATGCTGATTTCTGCGGCACATCACGGGGTCTTTCAAGACGTTATAGCAAATCAAACAGTGGAAATTTCGGTTCACTATCGACTCGAATCTTTCGTCATCGTACCCGAGTTGGTAATTTGATGCCATATTTACTCGCTGTATTTAGTTTGTAACATAAACCTCGTCGCATAAACTGCCATATAGAAGAAAGATGTATAAACAGTTTCGTCCTGACAGACTTGTATTAGTATTTAGTTGAAATTTTAACTGACAGAATCGTCTCAAACAACAGACGTATGTCACTTCCTCATATAAAGTCCTTTTATTGCCACGTATGTTGTCAGTGGGAAGCTTTCAAATAAAACATTCCAAGTCTTGTGACTAAAGGCCATGACCTCTGTTTACAGCAGGGTATTGATTGGTTAAAGGATCTTGTAGGACATTGTCAGTGATTTGTCACATCGACAACCTTGGACAAAGGCAGTTGTTCACGAGGCATTTTGGCAGCAATTTGCCAACGGAATTTCTAGCAGAAAAGTTACCTAAAAATTAGCCAGAGGAATTGCCCTGTTAGGGATTTAGGATTGGTTGGGAGTTTTAAAGAATGGATACAGATTATTTATGCCTAAATAAGAGGATTATGGATTGTTAAGACTGGATTTTAGGATTATCGATCTATTTCATTGTCTGGGGTATTTTTGTTTAGAGGAACAGGATATGGATTATTTTCAAAATTTACTCAGGATTACGGATTGTTCTGAACCCCCCAACAGGGTCTCATTGTAAGCATAGCCCAGGTTTTACTGTGCAGACATTTTTCATTCCATTTCTTACATTTTTATCCTGCAAGAGTATGCTATGTAAAGACATTGCCGGCAGAGTAGAATGCGAGCCATCCTCACATTTCTCTGTAACTACTTTTACGATAACATGGATCTGTATCCGAAATTGCTTTGCGTAACATGACTTTAATTAGTGGAACCAGGATTTAGTAGTATAAATGACATCAATTATCTGATTTGAGCATTAAAATTTCAGACGTATAAATTTAATAAATTATAGGTGCTTGCTGTTCGGCGACTAGTAAAACGTATATGCCATACATAAGAATACTTTTCATAAACATTGTCTTTGTGTCTTTACATCTTACAATATAGAGGCAGAGTTGAATTTGTTGATTCACCAGAATGAAGCAAATTGGGTCCCAAGGCAATGCCATTTAATTTTGGAAAAATCTTTTTAACATTGACTGAAGGCCGTTTTCCACTAGGCGAATTTTTTCGCGCGACGCGAAGCGAAAACCGAAATCCGGCAACGTGATTGGTCGGCGAAAAAATTCGCGGCGAAAAAGTAGGATCGCTTCCTACTTTTTATCTGTTCGCGCGAAAAAATTCGCCTAGTGGAAAACGGCCTTGACATGTCTAGTTTTTAAATCGCATATCTTTCCACAGCATAAACACATTGAAAAAACTACAGGGTTCATGCATTACACATGGCAATCACTGATGGCAATGGACTAATTTTATTGAGCATTCAGTTTACTCGGCCTGGCAAAGCGAGACAAACTTTTGCTAATTTTTCATCCAATTTTCATTTAAATTTAACCAAAATTGTCATTGGGCAATGTCGTTGCAGGTCCCACAAATTTTCGTACTAATACGTTTGAATGGTTTGATAGTTTTTGAGTTATGGCGTACAAACAGCAACCACATAGACAAACAGCCGTAGGTCCACACCACTGTCATTGTTAACACTGGATAGAGGAGCAACCTTTGAATTTTATAGAGAATTAATGTGCACCATTTTTTCGTGACGTAAAAAATTTTTTCCGGACATCAGCAATTTTCTCCATTTATCCAAAATTTTTTATAAAATACAAAAATTTTCTAAAATTTTTGTAAATTAACCTCATTCTTTTCCAAATTCACAAATTCACACTATTCACAAATTCACACTATAAATTACCTGAATCTCATGATTTTGCCCGAAAAAGCATCACTGGAAATGTGATTTATCAGGTATAGTATTTTACAACTAAAAGGGCACTTCTGCCCCCCTAGCAAAAAGGCAAGAGGGGCAGTTGCCCCCCTGCCCCCCCCCCAGTTTCGGCGTCCCTGGAATTAATTTTGACGCCGGAATATTTATTTGTTAGGTATTGTAGATGGAAATTATCGAGTGGAAATTTACATTCATTTATTAGACCTAACCAGGAACAGAAGCGAAAAATGCAACTTTAGGTCCCTGGCAGGAATTGAACCTGGGAACCTATAGGAGGTAAGTAATACCACAGTAGAGCAGGGCCGCCGAGAGGTTGGCGGGAGCCCGGGGCAAAATTTTTTTTCGGGGCCCCTATTTAAAAAATTTTCCGGAAAAACCTTCGGACAACCTTCCCTTCCCCCCCCCCCCGTACGTTGCAATTGTTTTCCAGGGACTTCATGCTCAATTTTTCATACCAAATTTCGATACTTAAGGCGGTTTTCCACTAGGCGGAATTTTTCGACCGAATCGAAATTTCTCTTTGTTTCAGAGCTCTCGAGCAGAACTAATTGTAAAAAGACAAAGAGAAATTTCGTTTCGGTCGAAAAATTCCGCCTCGTGGAATCCGGCCTTTAAGGCCTAATTCCACGAGGCGGAATTTTTCGACCGAAACGAATTTTTTGTTTGTCTTTTTACAATTAGTTCTGCTTGAGAGCTCATGAAACAAAGAGAAATTTCGATTCGGTCGAAAAATTTCGCCTAGTGGAAAACCGCCTTTAGCCCAAATCTTGCGGAAATATGTAACCCACAAAAATGACTGGGGCCCAACAAAAAATCTCCAGCCGGGGCCCCCTAGCACCTCGGGGCAATTTGCCCCCCTCTCGGCGGCCCTACAGTAGAGATTTGTGGTAGTCACAGCAATGCAGCCGCCATTGGTCCAGTTATGTTTAGCATCTACTCCATTCAGTACTGGTCTTGAGATCAGTGGTCGGCACGTATATAGAGAAACGACTGTCTTGTAGTAGTGAAGCAATTGAAGTACTTCAGGTACTCAACAAAAAACGGAAACAGGCTATACAAATACATATACAATTCTTATCATGGAAAAAGGAAAACTGCATGGGTGGCTTGTTTGTGCAGACAAATCACGATACTCGAGAATTCACCCTCGCCTTCCGTAGAGAACTGTGGCGTGCGCCGCCGTAGATTCTACGAGTAGATGCGTGCAAGAGATAGTGAGATACCCAACACTGTCTGCTGACAATGGCCCACCCCCTCCCCAGGTTTTCACCGGGTTTGGGGGCCTCGCCCTTTATATTCCCTCGCGATCGGTACAGAACCTCACAAAAATTTGGTAATCTGTACAAGGTTTTACCCATTACCCACGAGAAACTATCCTCGACCCTCAAACTATTGTTCCACAGACATTTAACATATTCCTAAAAAGTGTTGTCTATGGTAAGTGTTGTCTACGACTCCAAGTCAAAAATTTTCAAAGATCACACTTGGTCGTCTCAACGGGACTTTACTCACGATCCTCGAAAGCTGTCCCTCGAGTCTCGACCCACACTCTTGCGAGATTTACATATTTCGAACTGGTGCTGTATATAAACAGTATATACGGTTTCTAGGGAGAGGACAATATACAGGGCGAACTCCCAATGGCAGGCAACAATGTGCTCACCATGCTGCACAACGTATTACGCACAATTTACGCATATTCAATAAGGTTGGTTTCCACTCAACGGGTTTCTGTGGTAATGGTGACGTCAATCTTGGAAAAAACCTTGACGAGAAGTCGTTGATTGTTGTTATTTTAGTCAAACACAGAATAGGAAGGTCTCCTTGCTTGGAATTTATATAAAATTTCGACGAGAGAATGTTTTTGGAAATTTTGCTGGTGTACAAACCGCAAGAACGACAGCATCACTATATACCGCGACAACGCACAAGCGCGCACAATGTACAAACACACACGAAAACAAGCACGCTCCAATCGGAAGAGGCGACTCTGCCTAATTTCACAGTGAGCATACCTGTTCTATACAAGAAAACAACTTCAGTTTGTCGCAGAAAAAGGACGCTTTTTTATGCGGGTTGGAACTGTTAATTTGATGTTTTTTCCTCGAAATTTTCCGTGGATTTTAATTAAAGGGCATTTCAACTTCGACGAGGTTTTTTGAATTTTGAAGGTTTCAGGAATTTTAGAGATATTATGTCAATTTTTCGACAATTTTGTGTATATTTTTGAGGAAGTGTGCAAGGATTTTTGCAATAATACACCTTTGGTCTTCTTGAATTCATTAAATGATCCGATAAAATTAGAAGAATCTAAGTCTAATTACCAATTCTAATTTCAAATTTTATGATTGTTACAAATAACTCTACATTTTGGACTAAAATCCACGTGTATGTCAATCTCAGAAAATGTCATAATATATCTAAGCTAAGAGGTCCTGTATAGGTTGTTGTATAAAATATACAAGATAGCATCTGGGGCTGACTGTATATATAAAACTCTTAACTATATTTCAACTACCGGTTTTGTAGTTAGATAATAATGAACACTACAATACGCGATTATTGTTGGTTAACTTTCCCACTATCTATCGTTAACGACTTTTTGATGCAACCTGCCCTGGTTAAAAAAAAAGCAAACTCAGACATTTCTAACAACGTCCCTTGGTCGGAAGTCCGTTGCTGAAATCATCGGAGTTTGCTTATTTAGGTGCACATCTTTTTTATATTACATACAAAAAATTAAGGCAAACATCTAAATCACAACTGCTGTAGCTGAATATCTGAGTTCCTTCATGTCAGGAAGTTCCTCCCATAAATAGCTTTGAAAACTGAAACCTTCAACTGATTTCAAACCCTGTCCTCCTAGTACTACAATTGTATTCTCAATAACAACTGCCATACATCCTCTCCTCTTGTGTAACATGGGAGGCAACATATGACTGTTTCCAGTCTTCATGTTATAAATTATAACATTGTTTAATGCTTTCTCATCTTTGCTAGCCCCACCAATGATCACGACATTCTCAGCCCACTTGACTGTCGCCATTTCACTCACTGGATAGGGAAGCGCAGGTAACTGTTGACATTCATTCTTCTTGATGTCATAACTTAACACACTGTCGAGGTTGTATTCGGAGCTCAATGATTTCTTTCCCCCGACGATCAAAATACTATCATCACACAGTACTGTGTTGTGACGAGCTCTTGGTTCAGGCATCTTGGATACCAGTTTAACAGCGTAAGGTGGTTTAAGTTGTACTTCGTAAATACAGTCAGAGATGATATACTCTACATTATAACCGCCAGTAACAAACAAGCTATCCTTGTACACCACACTACTATGTGCAAACAACTTGACAGGCAGTTTGGCACCAAAGTCATTCCAGTTAATTGACAGGTCAGGAATAGGATGAATCTTCATTTGGATCATATTATCTACAGCAGCACGATTACAATCACCTCCCGCTAGAGTCACATGATTATTATAAACAAATGAAGATGCATCGTGACCCTTCACTGGCATATGCTTTAATAAAGACCACAATCTCTGACGGTAGTTGAATATTTCTACCGAGTTGTTTTTCAACAAACCACCAGCAACAAATATATGTTGATTTTCTCTCCCGCCACTCGCTGTGCCACTTACATCTCTTGTGATTTCCTCCTGCTTTCTTTCTTTGCTCTCTATCTTCTCAAGTACTGCTTCTTTCAACTGATCAAAGCCATTTTTTACTTCATTTAAACTCATTTTCATTCCTCTCACCTCATTATTCACTGCTTCGAACTTCGCTTCCACGTTCACCTGCAAGTTTGTTACTTTCGTGTCAACATTTTTGAGCTTCGTGTCCAGGTTTTCTAGTTTCGTGTCCGTTTGTGCCATTTTTGTTTTCACATCTGCCATTTTCGTGTCCATGGTTGTTAGTTTCGTGTTCGTGTTTGTCAATTTCGTTTTAACATCCGTCATTTCCGTGCTCACATTTGCTAATTTCGTTCGCATATCCGCCTGATTCGTGTCCAAGTTTGCCATTTTTGTTTCCATGCCAGCCATCATCGTGCTAATTTCTCCACAGTTGTGACACTTCAACTTTCTAAATTGACACAGTTCACTCTCGTGATATGTACGATCTCTTTTACTGATTGTCTCACCACAACCTTGATTTCCACAAGCGACTGGGGTAAACCCGCATTCGGCGACATGTCGCTTTAAATTCTGCAGCTGTACGAGTTCTCGACACCCTCTGTCGTAATGGTCGCAACGGATACTTAGTTCGTCTAAGTAATCCTTCACAATTCTTGGAACGTCTTGCAATGTTTCGACACTCAGCTCGTCAGCACACGTTGGGCATGTATGGGAATTCCTACGAAGATGTTCCGTGATGCAGCCGCGGCAAAAATAATGTTGATTTCTCCGGCACATCACGGGGTCTTTCAAGACGTTAAAGCAAATCAAACAGTGGAAATTTCGGTTCACTATCGACTCGAATCTTTCGTCATCGTACCCGAGTTGATAATTTGATGCCATATTTACTCGATGTATTTAATATGTCGCAATCGAGGTTGCAATTATGAAGCAAATTTCGTTCTTATTTCAGCCAGTTTGTAACATAAACCTCGTCGCATAAGCCGCCATATAGAAGAAAGATGTATAAACAGTTTCGTCCTGACAGATTTGTATTAGTATTTAGTTGAAATTTTAACTGAAAAAATCGTCTCAAACAACAGACGTATGTTACTTCCTCATATAAAGTCCTTTTATTGCCACGTCAGTGGGAAGCTTTCAAATAAAATATTCCAAGTCTTGTGACTAAAGGCCATGACCTCCGTTTACAGCAGAGTATTGATTGGTTAAAGGGTCTTGTAGATGGAAATGATCGAGTGGAAACTTTTTGTAGGGCATTTTCTGTGTTGGTGTAGTGTACTCAGGTGAATAAGATACTTATGATGTTACTCTGAGTGTATATCCACACCGGGCAGGCTTGAAAAATATGCCTGGCCACGGTGGGATTCGAACCTACGACCTTTGGATACTAGCCCAATGCTCTGCCAACTGAGCTAAGCGGTCAGGTCGGTTCGAGTATGCGATATTTCGGAACTGAATCTAGTTCCTTCGATATCAGTGTAATCTAATAATCATGAAATTTGCTGTGTTGGTGTAGTGTACTCAGGTGAATAAGATACTTGTGATGTTACTCTGAGTGTGTATCCACACCGGGCAGGCTTGAAAAATATGCCTGGCCACGGTGGGAATCGAACCTACGACCTTTGGAATACCAGATCGTAGGTTCGATTCCCACCGTGGCCAGGCATATTTTTCAAGCCTGCCCAGTGTGGATATACACTCAGAGTAACATCACAAGTATTTTTGTAGGACATTGTCACATCGAAAATCTTGGACAAAGGCAGTTGTCCACGAGGCATTTTAGCAGCAACTTGCAACGGAATTTCTAGCAGACAATTAGTTACCTAAAAATTAGCCAGAGGAATTGCCCTGTTAGGGATTTAGGATTGTTTGGGAGTTTTAAAGAATGGATACAGATTATTTATGCCTAAATAAGAGGATTATTGATTGTTAAGAAAGGATTTTAGGATTATCGATCTATTTCAATGTCTGGGGTATTTTTGTTTAGAGAAAAAGGATATGGATTATTTTCGAAATTTACTCAGGATTACGGATTGTTCTGAACCCCCAACAGGGTCTCATTGTAAGCATAGCCCAGGTTTTACTGTGCAGACATTTTTCTTTCCATTTCTTACATTTTTATCCTCCAAGAGTATGTTATGTAAAGAGATTGCCGGCAAAGTAGAATGCGAGCCATCCTCATATTTCTCCGTAACTACTTTTACGATAACATGGATCTGTATGAAATTGCATTGCGTAACATGACTTTAATTAATGGAACCAGGATTTAGTAGTATAAATGACATCAATTATCTGATTTGAGCATTACAATTTCAGGCGTATAAATTTAATAAATTATAGGTGCTTGCTGTTCGGCGACTAGTAAAACGTATATGCCATACATAAGAATACTTTTCATAAACATTGTCTTTGTGTCTTTACATCTTACAATGTAGAGGCAGAGTTGAATTTGTTGATTCACCAGAATGAAGCAAATTGGGTCCCAAGGCAATGCCATTTAATATTGGAAAAATCTTTTTAACATTGACTGACATGGCTAGTTTTTAAATCGCATATCTTTCCACAGCATAAACACATTGAAAAAACTACAGGGTTCATGTATTACACATGGCAATCACTGATGGCAATGGACTAATTTTATTGAGCATTCAGTTTACTCGGCCTGGCAAAGCGAGACAAACTTTTGCTAATTTTTCATCCAATTTTCATTCAAATTTAACCAAAATTGTCATTGGGCAATGTCGTTGCAGGTCCCACAAATTTTCGTACTGATACGTTTGAATGGTTTGATAGTTTTTTAGTTATGGCGTACAAACAGCAACCACATAGACAAACAGCCGTAGGTCCACACCACTGTCATTGTTAACACTGGATAGAGGAGCAACCTTTGAATTTTATAGAGAATTAATGTGCACCATTTTTTCGTGACGTAAAAAATTTTTCCGGACATCAGCAATTTTCTCCATTTATCCAAAAATTTTTTATAAAATCCAAAAATTTTCCAAAAATTTTCTAAAATTTTTGTAAATTAACCTCATTCTTTTCCAAATTCACAAATTCACACTATTCACAAATTCACACTATAAATTACCTGAATCTCATGATTTTGCCCGAAAAAGCATCACTGGAAATGTGATTTATCAGGTAGTATTTTACAACTAAAAGGGCACTTCTGCCCCCCTAGCAAAAGGCAAGAGGGGCAGTTGCCCCCCTACCCCCCCCCCCAGTTTCGGCGTCCCTGGAATTAATTTTGACGCCAGAATATTTATTTGTTAGGTATTGTAGATGGAATTTGATCGAGTGGAAATTTACATTCATTTATTAGACCTAACCAGAAACAGAAGCAAAAAATGCAACTTTAGGTCCCTGGCAGGAATTGAACCTGGAAACCTATAGGAGGTAAGTAATACCACAGTAGAGCAGGGCCGCCGAGAGGTTGGCGGGGGCCCGGGGCAATTTTTTTGGGGGGGCCCCTTTTAAAAATTTTTCCTTAAAAATTTTTTTTCGGACAACAACCTCCCCCCCTCCCCCCCGACGACGAGTACGTTGCAATTGTTTTCCAGGGACTTCACGCTCAATTTTTCATACCAAATTTCGATACTTAGCCCAAATCTTGTCCTTTGAGCGGAAATATATAACCCACAAAAATGAATGAGGCCCAACAAAAAATCTCCAGCCGGGGCTCCCTAGCACCTCGGGGCAATTTGCCCCCCTCTCGGCGGCCCTACAGTAGAGATTTGTGGTAGTCACAGCAATGCAGCCGCCATTGGTCCAGTTATGTTTAGCATCTACTCCATTCAGTACTGGTCTTGAGATCAGTGGTCGGCACGTATATAGAGAAACGACTGTTTCAAGTACTTCAGGTACTCAACAAGAAACGGAAACAGACTATACAAATACTATACAATTCTTATCATGGAAAAAGGAAAACTGCATGGGTGGCTTGTTTGTGCAGACAAATCACGATACTCGAGAATTCACCCTCGCCTTCCGTAGAGAACTGTGGCGCACTCTGCCGTAGATTCTACGAGTAGATGCGTGCAAGAGATAGTGAGATACCCAACACTGTCTGCTGACAATGCCCCACCTCCTCCCCAGGTTTTCACCGGGTTTGGGGGCCTCGCCCCTTTATATTCATAACATTGTGTATAGTCCCTTGCGATCGGTACAGAACGTCACAAAAATTTGGTAATCTGTACAAGGTTTTACCCATTACCCACGAGAAACTATCCTCGACCCTCGACTATTGTTCCACAGACATTTAACATATTCCGAAGAAGTGTTGTCTATGGTAAGTGTTGTCTACGACTCCAGGTAAAATATTTTCAAAGATCACACTTGGTCGTCTCAACGGGACTTTACTCATGATCCTCGAAAGCTGTCCCTCGAGTCTCGACCCACACTCTTGCATGATATACATATTCTGAACTGGTGTTGTATATAAACAGTACATACGGTTTCTAGGGAGAGGACAATACACAGGGCGAACTCCCACTGACAGGCAACAATGTGCTCACCATGCTGCACAACGTATTATGCACAGTTTACACATATTCAATAAGGTTGGTTTGTTCTCAATGGGTTTCTGTGATAATGGTGACGTCAATCTTGGAAAAAATATCTTGAATTGACGCAAAGTCGTTGAAACTGGAAGAATAGGAAGGTCTCCTTGCTTGGAATTTACATAAAATGTCGACGAGAGAATGTTTTTGGAAATTTTGCTGGTGTACAAACCGCAAGAAAAACAGCATCACTATATACCGCGACAACGCACAAGCGCGCACAATGTACAAAGACACGCAAAAACAAGCACGCTCCAATCAGAAGAAGCGACTCTGCCTAATTTCATAGTAAGCATACCTGTTTTATACAAGAAAACAACTGCAGCTTGTCGCAGAAAAGGACGCTTTTCTTTCTTTTTATGCGGGTTGTAACAGTTCTTAATTTTGGTAATCGTCGTGAGGGTTTCGAGAATTTTAGGGATTTTATGTACATTTTTCGACAAATTCTGGCACGATTAATTTCGGATTGTTTTTTATTTTTGTGAAAGTGTGGAAGGATTTTTAACAGTAATACACATTTGGTCTTCCTTTATTCTCGACAGCATCTTTGTTTTGATATTCTTTCTCAAATTTATAACTTGAGAAATTGGAAGAATCTAAGTCTAATTATCAATTGTAATTTCAAATTTTCTATGATTTGTATAACTCTACATTTTGGACTAAAATCCACGTGTATGTCATTCCCAGAAAATGTCATAATATATCTAAGCTAAAAGGTCCTGTATAGGTCGTTGTATAAAATATAAAAGATAGCATCTGGGGGCTGACTGTGTAAAACTATTAACTATATGTCAACTACCGGTTTCGTAGTTAGTTATTAACACTACAATATGCGATTATGATTGGTTACTTTCGCACTAACTATAGTTAACGACTTTTTGATGCAGCCTGCCCTGGTTAAAAAAGCAAACTCGGACATTTCTAACAACATCCCTTGGTCGGAAGTCCGTTGTTGAAATCAACCGAGTTTGCTTATTATAATTAGGGGCACATCTTTTTTATAGTACATATATACAAAAAATTGAAGGCAAACGTCTAAATCACAACTGCTGTGGCTAACCATCTTGATTCCTTCATGCCAGGAAGATCCTCCCAAGTATAGTTGTCGAAGCTGAAACTTTCGACTGATTTCAAATGTATACGTCTCTCATCCATCCCTCCTAGTACTACAATTGTGTTCTCAACAACAACTGCCATACATCCTCTCCTCTTGTGTGACATGGGAGGCAACATGTGACTGTTTCCGGTCTTGATGTTATAAATTATAACATTGTTTAAGGCTTTCTCATCCTTGTCAGCACCACCAATGATCACGACATTCTCAGCCCACTTGACTGTCGCCATTTCACTCACTGGATAGAGAAGCGCAGGTAACTGTTGACATTCATTCTTCTTGATGTTATAACTTAACACACTGCTGAGGTTGTCTTTGTAGGCCATTGATTTCTTTCCCCCAACGATCAAAATACTATCATCACATAGTACTGTGCTGTGACGAGTTCTTGGTTCAGGCATCTTGGACACCAGTTTAACAGCATACGGTGGTTTAAGTTGTAGTTCGTGAATACAGTCGGAGACGACATTACCAGCTTTATAACCGCCAGTAACAAACAAGTTATCCTTGTACACCACACTACTATGTGCATACAACTTGACAGGTAGTTTGGCACCAAAGCCACTCCAGTTAATTGACAGATCAGGAATAGGATGAATGTTCATTTGGATCATGTTATCTACAGCAGCACGATTGCATTCACCTCCCGCTACAGTCACATGATTATTATAAACAAATGACGATGCATCTTCACAATTGACTGGCATGCGCTTTAACAAAGACCACAATCTCTGACGGTAGTTAAATATTTCCACCGAGTCTCTCTCCACACCACCAGCAACAAATATATGTTGATTTTCTCTTCCGCCACTTACATCTCTTGTGGTTTCCTCCTGCTTTCCTTCTCCGCTCCCTATCTTCTCAAGCACTGCTTCTTTCAACTGATGGAAGCCATCTTTTACTTCATTTAAACTCATTTTCATTCCTCTCATTTCGTTATTCACTGCTTCGAACTTCGCTTCCACGTTCGCCTGCAAGTTTGCCATTTTCGTGTCTATTTTCGTATCAACATTTTTCAGCTTCGTGTCCAGGTTTTCTAGTTTCGTGTCCGTATGTGCCAGTTTTGTTTTCACATCTGCCATTTCCGTGCTAACATTTGCCATTTTCGTGTCCATGGTTGTTAGTTTCGTGTTCGTGTTTGTCAATTTCGTGCTCACATTTGCTAATTTAGTTCGCATATCGGCCTGATTGGTGTCCAAGTTCGCCATTTTCGTTTCCATGCCTGCCATCATCGTGCTGATTTCTCCACAGTTGTGACACTTCAACTTTCTAAATTGACACAGTTCACTCTCGTGATATGTACGATCTCTTTTACTGATTGCCTCACCGCAACCTTGATTTGCACAAACGACTGGGGTAAACCCGCATTCGGCGACATGTCGCTTTAAATTCTGCAGCTGTACGAGTTCTCGACATCCTCTGTTGTAATGGTCGCAACGGATACTTAGTTCGTCTAAGTAATCCTTCACAATTCTTGGAACGTCTTGCAATGTTTCGACACTCAGCTCGTCAGCGCACGTTGGGCATGTATGGGAATTCCTACGAAGATGTTCCGTGATGCAGCCGCGGCAAAAACAGTGCTGATTTCTGCGGCACATCACGGGGTCTTTCAAGACGTTAGAGCAAATCAAACAGTGGAAATTTCGGTTCACTATCGACTCGAATCTTTCGTCATCGTACCCGAGTTGATAATTTGATGCCATATTTACTCGCTGTATTTAATATGTCGCAATTATTAAGTAAATTTCGTGCTTATTTCAGCCAGTTTGTAACATAAACCACGTCGTATAAACTGCCATATAGAAGAAAGATATACAAACAGTTTCGTCCTGACAGATTTGTATTAGTATTTAGTTGAAATTTTAACTGAAAGAATCGTCTCAAACAGACGTATGTCACTTCCTCATATAAAGTCCTTTTATTGCCACGTAGTTGTCAGTGGGAAGCTTTCAAATAAAACATTCCAAGTGACTAAAGGCCATGACCTCTGTTTACAGCAGGGTATTGATTGGTTTATAAAGGAACTTGTAGATATGGATGGAAATTATCGAGTGGAAATTTTTTGTAGGACATTGTCACACCGAAAACCTTGGACAAAGGCAGTTGTCCACGAGGCATTGTGGCAGCAACTTGCAACGGAATTTCTAGCAGACAAGTTACCTAAAAATTAGCCAGAGGAATTGCCCTGTTAGGGATTTAGGATTGTTTGGGAGTTTTAAAGAATGGATACAGATTATTTATGCCTAAATAAGAGGATTATTGATTGTTAAGAAAGGATTTTAGGATTATCGATCTATTTCATTGTCTGGGGTATTTTTGTTTAGAGAAAAAGGATATAGATTATTTTCAAAATTTACTCAGGATTACGGATTGTTCTGAACCCCCCAACAGGGTCTCATTGTAAGCATAGCCCAGGTTTTACTGTGCAGACATTTTTCATTCCATTTCTTACATTTTTATCCTCCAAGTGTATGTTATTTAAAGACATTGCCGGCAGAGTAGAATGCGAGCCATCCTCACATTTCTCTGTGACTATTTTTACGATAACATATCGATGTATCCAAAACTACTTTCCAAGATGCTGCAAAAATTGCCTCGTGTAACATGGCTTTAATGGAACCAGGATTTAGTAGTATAAATGACATCAATCATCTTACTTGAACATTAAAATTTCAGACATATAAATTTAATAACGTATAGGTTTCTGCTTGGTGTTCGACTAGTAAAACGTACATTATGACATACATAAGAATACTTTTCATAAACATTGTCTTTGTATCTTCATGGCCAGCCTGACAGGAACTTCAACTGGAGGCTGAGAGAAGGCCCTGTCAAGTTTAGAGATCCCAGGCCTAGGTATTAAATTAACCTTAGTATACTTGTGAAAGATCTCTCAGTGAACATTGTAATTTGTTCTATGTCGTATGTCCTAACTGGCGAAAGTCTTCCATCTTTCATCGCACTAGATTTTTCAGCAATTACCTCAACTTTGCAAGATTAATGGCGAAACTATCAAAACTACGCATCACTCATCACTCCTTTGATGACATCTCTTTACTCTTCCATTTATGCAAGGTCGTCGGAAGTAAATCAATATTAAATTAAGAATAAATCTGAATAAAGCTGAATTGCTTTCGCACTTTTCTAGTTCTTTTGTGTGTTTTGCATATACAAATGGAAATTATTGGGGGGGGGGCTCAAGCCTCCCCCCAAGCCCCCACTGCTTCCGACGGCCTTGTTATGAGTAGAGTTGTCGGTGGAGGGTGTGTTTAAACATCGTCCATACACCTATTTTGATTAAGGCTGTCATTATCAACTGTAAAGTCAAAATATTGATACAGCGAGTCAAAATATTGAGAGAAATTACTGAAATCAACTATGCTGAAATTTACTCGTTTTTTTAGTTTAAAGATTTACAGGGTTCGCAGTCTCCAAGACCAAACAAATTCAAAGACTTTCAAACATTTTTCTACCTATTTTGAAAGACTTCTCAAAGACCTTTGAGAGCAATCAGCTGTCGAAAAATTGCGAGTGTAAGCACAATTTTTACCCAGTAATTAGTCCCGTCAAATCACATCCTAAAATGCGCCTTTTCGTCGATATTTGCGAAAATCTTGCTTCAATCAATCTCTTTTATTAGCTAGGAAATCGTATAATCAAATACTCACTAAAGAATTTAAAGACTTTCTTCGCTTTTTCACACAATTCAAAGACTTTTCAAAGACCTTAAAGCCTGCATTCAAATTTTCACTTTCAAGGATTTCAAAGACCACTACGAACCCCGATTTACTTTGAGTAATTTTGTTGAATATTTTGAGCCACTGTGGCATTATTTTACTAAGTGTTTGAATTAAAATACATTGCAGTGTAATGAATGATGGTAAAAATCGTTTCCGACTGACGGCCAGTTTTCATTTTTCGATATCACTTTTAGCAGCAAAAAAGTTACTCCAGTTATATTTACAGATCTCAACCATCAAACACCAAATTAGCGCATGACATCTCTGACCTTGCGAAGGTTGTACGAACATTCACCGACAGCTGACGATGATCATTCGACAGAATCACTGCTGCTACTTGAGTCGCTAGAACTTCCACTGATCTCTTCATCTGAACTGGATGAACTCGAGCTTTCTTCACTGCTCGATTCGCTTTCACTTTTTCTTGATTTGCGTTTTCGAGATTTATCTTTTGATTGCGCGACTTTCTTCCCATGTTTGGGTCTGGAAAAATTTAAAGGAAATGACATGATGGCATCTAAGAAAAACATGATTCATGATTGCTAAGGTAAATGTTTATTATCATTATACCTTTCATTTTTCTTTGTCTTTGCTTTCTTTGATATCTCCTTTTTCTTCTTCCCATCAGTCTTTACATTCTTCTTCAAGACTTTGACTTCCTTCTCTTTCCTTTCCTTTGAATTCAACTCCTCCCGTCTGCCTTTCCCTGCGACATTACCATCAGGTCCTCCTCGCCGTTTCATTTCACGATCTTGGAAAAAAAGCGGTTAGTTGCTAATGAAAAACAGATACATGGCCAGCACAAACAGTAGGCCGCGAAACGCTTGTACATTATACGTACTCTTAAACGAAATAGAATGCATCCGGAAGACTTAAAAGCGCTGGTCAAACGTGAATGAGAGTTGATGAGATTCGAGAGACGAGAGTTTGCATGAGACAAAATTTGCGTGACATAATATGCATACCATTGAACTATAAATAAACTGGAAGGCTAACTGCTATGATGAAGGCCTATGATTTGATGAAGCCAAAATAGTTTTTCTGAGTTATGAGCAGAAATACTTGACCCCAAACGTCGGGCTATATGTCAAATTGAAGCTATTGAAAATTGCTATTTGCTGTGGAAATTTCAAGACTTCAGCGAAAAGAAAATTATTTAAAAAATACAAAAACAACTGCAAAACGGCAAATTATTGGTAATTATGTTTGTAGTTTTTCAATATTTTCCTTTTAGTTAAAGTCTTGAAATTTCTACGCCAAATAGCGTTTTTCAATAGCTTCAATTTGATATATAGCCCAACGTTTAGTGTTGAGTATTTCTGCTCATAACTCAGAAAAACTAAAATGCACTGGCTCCAATTCCCCCCCCCCCCCCCCTGAGTTAGTCTTCCAGTTTATTTATAGTTCAATGATGCATACCCCCAATAATGGCGGAGAGTACGCTGTTTTTAGTCAAGATATGAAAAGAATCGAGGAAGAAAAGAAAAAGCCGAAGAAAGACTTTCTTAAATATTTCAAAAGTTCTTTCGAATGAGACAAAGTATACTTTTACAATGCGCTTTATTCTTTAAATGGCAATGCCCTTTAAATGATGATTATTATACTATATACCTTTCTCGTTTCGACTTCGAGCAGAACGTTTTTCATCCGAGGTTTTGATTTTCTGCTTCTTCGCAGGCGGACGTTCATTGGTTGATTCGGAGCTTGAATCCGAGCTCGAATCGGAACTGCTCGAGCTATCTTCGGAGGATGACGATGTGGATGATTGTGTTGTAGTTTGTCGGCCTTTCTTTTTCGCTTTGAGTTTCTTCGATTCTTGCTTTTCGTCTGCGCTTTGTTGAAGCTTCTTTCTAGGAACGCCACGGGATTGTGGTGGCGATTGCAGGTCATTTGTGGTCTTTGAAGAACGTCTAGGGGACTTGCTACGAGGCGGAGATGTATTGCGAGTTTGAACTTGTGTTGACCTACAAGGTCGAAAAATTGAAAACAATTAATTGAAAACACTAAAGCGGTTTGTAAACCGCGCAGAAAAGTCACAATTAGCCGCTCCGGCGTAGTGACACAATCGTCCTCTTGAAACAATACAAAACGTTTCCATCAAAACGAATCACAATTGTTTTATATGAATAGCTAGCTTATCCAACCAAAAATTTGGAAAGTCGATATTTTACAAATATCATGCGCACATGATCTATACAAATAAGGGAATGCTATTGGATAAGGTTTTGTTTAACGTAATTCCGTGCGTCTGTCCTAAAAAAGATCATAGCTCTCGACCAATGAAAGCGCTTGAATTTTTAACGTTATTATAAATTATCTTATACAACATGGCCGCACGTGACTTACCTCCCCGGACTCTGCCGACGTTTATTCACAGGGCTCTGAGGACGTGCTCTCCTCTTTGGACTAGGCGAGGGACGGCCTCGTTTTGGAGGGCTGCGAGAACGGGGTGGAGAGGAGGGCGCTCTTCTTGGGGGGTTGGGAGAGGGACTACGTCGCCTTCTTGGGGGGCTGGGAGAGGGACTACGTCGCCTTCTTGGCGGACTTTGCGAGGTTGGGGGGCTGGATCTCCGTTTTGGAGGGGACGACCGAATGCGGGGTTTCCTCTGAGGACTTGGTGAATGTGAGGGACTTTGGGATTGTTCCTTTTCAGGGCTAGTTGAGGGGGAGTCTGATGGGCTAGGGGGTTGCTCTTGGGGTGTGGGTGAACGCGAAGGACTACGAGGTTGTTCTTTTTGTGGAGGTGGGGGGCTAGGGGTTGGAGTTCGGCGCCTTTTCTTTTTAGTCTCAGATTTCTTCTTGGGGTGTGGGGAATCTGAAGGGGTATGGGGTCCCTTCTTATGACGGGGTTTTCTCTCTGGGGTTGGTGACCGATCGGGGGATTTACTTTTTTGCTGAGGGCTAGGACTGCGAGGTTTGCGTTTCTGGGAGGTAGGTGAACCAGACGGTGTTCGCGGACCTTTCTTTTGAGAACGTGGGGATTCCGATGGAGTGTGCGGTCCTCTTCTCCGAGGTGAGCCTGGAGGAGTACGAGGGCCTTTGGATGCGCCGGGTTTAGTTTGGGAAGGTGGGGTTGGGGGGATTGTTGCTAGTGGTTTCCATTTTGGCTTAGGAGGGCTCCCCTCTTGTTCTGAACTTGCTTTCTCTTCAGGTTGTGCTGCTGCTGCGGCTGCTGCAAAATCCTGTTCTTGCGATGGTGGCGGTGTTGTCACAAGCTGAGATGGACTGTATCGGTCGTCTTCTGATTTCGCTGGCGATCTTTACAAATAAATTGCAAATGATATATTGTAATTAAACGGCTGTAATGTATAGGAGATACAACAGCCGGAAACCTATAAATCTTTGTCTCAGCGAGCGGATCAAAATGGTATCTCAACCCTGACAGACGCTTACTTCTTTGAAAAAACCTCCTGCTTTAAATTCTATTGCGAACCTTGCAATTGGTTATTTTAGATGGCTACCCTGTACTAACTGTAAATCTCAGTGTTGTTTTGTATGACAACCTTCCGTGTTGAAATAAAGATCGCTTACTTACCTTTGATGAGGACGTTCATCTTTAACAGCAGGACTACCAGATGGTGATCTACTAGGGGACGATCTTTCCTTTCTTTTATCAGGGCTAGCAGAACGGGATGGTCTACCGCGAGGTGGAGGACTTGGAGATCGAGAAGGACGTGGACTAGCACCACTTCTTTGAACTGGACTAGCCGATCGGGACCTAGGCTGAGGCTTTCTGCGGTCTGCACTGGTTATAGGTGTTCGGGACTGAGGTGCTGGACTAACAGACCGGGACCTGCTTCTGCTCGGTTGACGCTTTCTGCGATCTGCACTACTGGCCATAAGTCGTCGGTCTTTGTTCTGAGGGGGTGGGCTAACAGACTGGGACCTACTTCTGCTCGGTTGACGCTTTCTGCGATCTGCACTACTGGCCATAGGTCGTCGGTCTTTGTTCTGAGGGGGTGGGCTAACAGACTGGGACCTACTTCTGCTCGGTTGACGCTTTCTGTGGTCTGCACTACTGGCCATAGGTCGTTGGTCCTTGTTCTGAGGGGGTGGGCTAACAGACCGGGACCTACTTCTGCTCGGTTGACGCTGTCTCCGGTCAGCACTGACCATAGGTCTACGTTCTCTTGACCGACGAGTAGGACTAACCGACCGTGACTTACTTCTGCTCGGCTGACCCTTTCTGCCAGCCATAGGTCTACGTTGGACTTCTTTTGACTGAGGTCTTGGACTAACGGATCGAGACCTGCTTCTACTTGTCGGACGCTTTCGCCGGTCTGCACAAATAAAAAAATATTACTACTTGTACATATATAAGGTGTAAATACAGTATTATTCGTCAATATACCTCCCGGCGGAAGTAATTACCTGCATTGCTGGCCATAGGTCTACGTTCGTTTGACCGACGAGTTGGGCTAACCGACCGTGATCTACTTCGACTGGGTTGCTTTCTTTGTGGAGGACTAGTATTCCGTGGACTTAGCTGTCGTCGTCTTAGAGGACTACCGGATTGGCGTGACCCAGGTCTGCCTCTACGAGGTGGGCTTTGTCGAGGACTTGAGCGGCCTCTTCTTTGCGGAGGGCTGGCCGACCTGGATCTACTACGAGATGGCTCACGTCTTCTCCGAGGTGGGCTAGGTCGGCGTGGGCTAGATTGACGTTTCCTTTGTGGTGGGCTGGCAGACCGGCCTGGGCTGGGACGTCTCTTAGGACTACCTGATCGGGAACGGCTTGGACTAGCACGACCTTTTCTTTGAGGTGGGCTCGGTGACCGAGATCGACTTGGCTGTCGTTTTCGCTGAGGTGGGGTTCGTGCCCGTCGCGGGCTGGGTCTGTTTCCTCTCCGAACAGGACTGGCAGACCTTGAACGTTTAGAACGACGTTTCCGTTCTGATGGACTCTTTGACCGAGACTGACTTGGACTAGGACGACCTGTTCAAAATAATAAAACTTTTGTTTTATACACGATAGCAATATTACAGAATATTACACACATCTATGGTAACGTATATGACTCGTATACGACTAGTCGCAGACGGGCCTTTACAGTTATTCAGCTGTTCTTCAAAAGCTTTGAAAAATGATTTGGGGTGGCGCCAGGTTGCTCCCCTTGCCCCCATCAGTGTCCACCATTGCCCCCAAACCTAACCTGGGGGCCTCATCACAACCAACAAATCCACCACCGTTGCCAGTGTAAAATTTCACCACCATTACCAGTGTGAAATTCCACCACAATTACCAGTGTAAAATTCCACCACAATTACCAGTATGAAATTCCACCACAATTATCAGTGTAACATTTCACCACCATTACCAGTGTGAAATTTCACCACCACTAGCACCAGACATCTTACCTTTTCTTTGGGGTGGACTGGGTGATCTTGGAGGGCTAGATCGACGATTTCTTTGACTATCAGACGGGCGACTTGGTTTTTGGTTTGGACTGGCAGAACGGGGAGGCGGACTCCGCGAAGGACGGCGGCGAGGAGGAGAACGCTCTCTACGCTGGGGGGATCTTCTTGGTGGGGATCTTCTTGGTGGGGATCTTCTTGGTGGGGATCTTCTAGGTGGGGATCTTCTTGGTGAAGATTGTCTTGGCGGGGACCTTGAGACACGGGTCTGTGCTTGAGGGGGGCTGACAGACCGTGAGGCACGACGTTTTTCGCCACCTGGAAGTCAAAAAATGGAAAATATTTTTTCTTTCCAGGTTAACGGTTGTGGGTTCAGCATTAAGGGTGAAAGCATGCTGTAACCGCTTGGGGGGGGGGG